GCAAAGGATTAAATCGCGAAGCAAAGAGTTAAATCGCGAAGCAAGAATCACTTGACAGTAAATGTTCGCGACACGGTGTCAAAATGTCATTGTAGGGGTTGAGAAGGGGACGTGGCATGGGGTAAGAAAGCCAGCATTCCCGTTTTCTTTCTATCGCGAGTCGAGTGGTTCCTTTGGGATTTTCCGGCTTCGACTCTCCATCAACCTGTCCTCTCTCTCTCCTCTCTCTCTCTTTTTCTCTCTCTTTCTCTCTGGCTTCCGTCTCCGTCCGTCGACCAACCTCCCGGCTCACTCTTCTCTCTTTCGCCGGCTCGCTGCGGTCCCGAGGCGGCAAGCAAAGAACTCTCTCTCTCCCCTACCGTGCCGGTAGCTCGCACTGATTTTCTACCCTCGACACCGTTTCCCGTCCACCGAGCCACCCCGAGTCCTCCTCGTGGTATCCGCACAGCCCCGCAACAGCCCCCGCGACACCCCCGCGACGGCCCCGGCGGCGTCACTAGCAGTCACGCTGCCAACACGTGCTCCTGTTTACCTCTCCGATCACATGGTACGCGAGACGCGGCGGGACGCGGCGGCACACTGTTCACTGACGGTGTCATTTCATCGCAAAATACCTGGGGCCGCGTATGCGCGCTGCTTAATTGCATTCATGACCCGTGTGCATGCGTGCTCGACACGCCGCGCAACGATCAGCCGCTGCGGGGACGGATTTCGATGACGATTCGCCCCCGCCACGAGGTCATTCTCATGGAATTCACGTGGTCGCTGATTCTCGCGTGCTCGCCGCGTTTTTGCGGGCATTCGATTCTGACCGTGAAAACGCCCCCGCTCCGGCCGCGATGATTTTTAGTTACCTGTTCGCGCGTCACCTCTCACGCCACCGCAACGAATTTTAATCGTTCCCGTTTTTGGCGCTCGTTTCATCGAGCTTGTCATCGATCTGTTGTTTCACGTGTGATGATTTTCAGGTACTCGGAGACTAGTTTCTTCGGATTAACGCTAAGTTTACGGAATCCGTAAAAATGACGGGACATTAATTTTTCAATTTACGATTATTCGGATCGCGGAGATACATTTCTGAGTTATTTATTCAGCATGCGCGTTTCTTGCGGCAGATAAGTATTAATATGAATAAAGAAAGAATAAAACACTCGTTAAAAATCAGGACAAATATCTTATTGTTACCTTTATAAACTGATTATAAAGCAGCTGCTTTTACTGCTCCGTGAATCTAGTGTTATGGTGTTTTCGTGTGGAATCATTGAAGCTATTTATTTGATTTTCTTATGAATTTTTGCATGGGAGTTTTTTTATCGAATTTAATTTTGCTAACTAAGATGTCGTTCGAATCGCTATAACTTTGCGTTTTTTGGTTCACATTTGGCCACTTCGTCGGCCGCTTCTGGTTCGAATTAGGCGACTTTCTTTCTTCATTTTCTGATGCGTGCGCGTCGCAGCATTTCACGAATTTTCGTCTGACAGAAATGTGTCACATCGACTCGACAAGGATAAATACGCGTACACTCGTAACGCGACTTCTGCGAAATAAGATTTTAAAACGCCGATGGTGACATTTTGTAAAAAAAAGGCGTGCAAAAATTCTCTGTAAGCTGTCGCATCGCTATAAATAAGGGACGTCTTTAGTCATAGCGTAGAAATACGACGAATTCTAGAGACGTTCGGCACAAACGTTTTCATAAAAATATCTTAGCTGTAAAGTAGCCTTTTGGCGATAAATTTTCGGCGATTCCCATGCCTTCCGTGCCGATCTCGCGTTCCCTATACACCTGTTTTGACTGATTTTCTTCCACCAACAAGCCAATCGTTACGCGAGCTTCGTTGTCTTTTTAAATCCATCCAGGAGTCTCTCGACCAGGTTTCACGTATTTTATCACACTCCACGCCTTGTCTTCAATTAATAGCAATTACATTTTGCAACAACGCATAGAATGACAGTCCCTGTTCACCTTTCGAATCGCGCAGTGACCATTCGCACCGTTCGCCATTTTACTTTACTGTCTTTGCGACATCGCGCGAGCAACACTTTACGTCGTGACAACCTTAGTCACCCGTAGACAATAATGGAACTAATTTCCATTCTGGACGCAACATTGTTCTAAATCATTAATTAAAGCACAATGTACACAGACGTAAATACGCGTATCCAATGCGTGTCGTCAAGCCGCGTAGCTTCTTGCAAAACGAACGTGAACTTGTTCACACCGTAGCGGTTACAAAACTCGACGCTGCCAGGTGGAACAGAGAGCTGCTATAGTTCACGCCTCATAGTGGGACCTATGACGAGCCTATTTAAAAATCGCATTTCGACACAGCGACTAAAAATACCTGCACGCATTAACCTTCCAAGACTGAAAATGATCTTCGAACGTGCTAATAGAAAGATCACTCACTTTCACGTTTCGGCAGACAATCGAAACCTGCTGTAACCATCTAGTAACCAATCAACGATTTCCTTTACAATAGACTGACTAAACGAGTCAAATGATTCTAGAAGATGTCAGATTAGAGATTCCTGGAACCGGAATCCTACAAAATGGTCATCAGCTTCTCTATTCGCTTCTCCCTCGCCCTAATCTTAAAATAGACGCTGGGAACGTTCAAAAACATATCTCCAGACAACGATTAGAAGCATCCTACATTAACCTACCGAAAAAGAGCATTTTCAATGACAGAAGAAATATAATATTACATATTAAATAATTTTGATAGTACTTCAGAAACACGATACCGAAGACACGTCTGTCTTTTACAGATTCGTTTTAACTTTCTACGAAGCAGTTTCACTGCACTCCGGCAACGAACATGAAGAAGAAAACGCCTGATTGCAGCGAGCATGTTCACCAAGACAGAACCTGCTACACAATTGACTGTCGATCGATCAGAACCAGTCAGAAAATTCCGGGGGAAAAATCGCTGTCGACTTTGCTTCGTTCCATCATCGACTCCCTCAAAATTGCTTTCCATAGTTTTCTATTCCAGGCTGGGAATGAACACGGCGATCCGATTCCAGTGAGATACATAATTGATGGAGACACTCTGAGCGGCGATTCCGTGGGCTGCGACTTGTCTGCGAGGAACGATCCTCGCGCAAATTGCCCTAACCCGACGAAGATCGATCTTAAACGGCGAAGGTTAAGAACCGCGTCGCGCCGCCGTTCCCGGGCTCGATCCTGCAATTAGCATTCGCGGGTCACATTCGCCGCGATCCCCGCATAATTATCGCCCTGATTATTGGAACGCAGCTAAGTAGCAACCGGGAATTATCACTCGGCGAGCGGAGCGCCGCGGAACTCGACGCTGGTTTCAATCCCTCGCTACCGACATTCCCGCGCGGCCTGGCCCCGAGTAACTTTCTTAATTACTGAGATTAACTTAATGGTATCGGGGCAACGATTATCGCTCGCGAGCCTCGCAATTGCCGGCCAGATATAAATACACGCTGCGCCCCGGCATCACGAATTTTGATGGAAACCTTTTTTCAGAAACCTGCGCGCCGGGAAGTTCTCGTTTCGAATCGTTAGCGGCGCTGTCAATGCCTCCGACTAAACGTTTCCCTGGGATCCGCGCCGGTTTCTGAGATACCGCTGGCAATTTTGACAGCGCGATCGGCACCGAATTCGCTGGATCGAGCGATTCTTCGAACTGGGATTTTACTTTTCGGCGAGTCACGCGGTAGATTTTTCTGCGACTTGTAAATGCGGATTTTATACACTTCGAATAAATTTGAGCTATCGAATTACAAAACTGTGACTTGTTAAAATCATTGAAAAAGGAAACGCGGGTTTCTAATTAACTTAGAGAATTTTATTTCGTAGAAACATCGGTCTAGCTTGCTTTTTAATTTGTTTGATAAATGATCTTTTCCAACGGTGAGGAGAACGTTTATAATATTCGTATTCGCAATTTGTTATTTCATACGCTTGGGAGAAATTTGAGAAATTGAATTACAAAACTGCGACTCGTCCAGCTGTTAAAATTATTGTAAAAGGCGGTACACAGGTTTCCAATTAACTTAGAGAATTTTTATTTTGCACAGACATCTGTCTAGGCCGCGTTTTAATTCGTTTGATGATGTTTATTTTTCCCAGTAGCGAGAGGGAAACGTTTTTAACATGTGGATACGAGAATTTTACAAGCTCGAGCGAACATGACGTAATTAAAGGAATACGGACGGAGTCTTGCACATGTACGTAATTTGCGTTAATGTTAGCTTAGGACGTGCGGCACTGAACATGTAAAGATGTTTGGCCGAGTGAAAAGTCATTGGAATGTGACGGCGAATGTTAATGAGACTTTAATTTCGTGAAACTTTCTAGCGTTTTTGTTGCTCTTTACGCATAATTCTGATGGCGGTTTGCATGACACTCGCGTTATATTGAGCAACCATACATTTTGCTGGGACGATTTTTCGAGAGAATAATTGCCCTTTACTTCACCTGTCAAGACTTGATGATTCTAATTTCGCTTTAGATTGATGAATTTCTATTTACTTCCAGAGACTCGGACACCAGATTATTCTACCTTTCGATGACAGATTCGTCGATGCATAAGGGAAAATTGAGAAATATTTCTTATTTCACCGACCACATTTATTGCAAGCAGAAGTATATTTTAGTACACTTCGTAAATCTGCGACTTTGTCGAACCGGATTTCGACTCGGACATTATCGTCGCCTTTCTATGCGCGCGTTCAATTAAAAAGCCTGACAATGTTCAAACTCAATACACTCGTGGAGATCAACAGGACATAAAAATTCGACAAACAGGACAGAGTTTCCCGCTACCTCGAACATCGTCAACCGGCGAACTAAATGTTCGTTGTGCAAGACACTTTACGCAGGACTCGTCGTCGACCGTCCCGAGCGAGCTGCGAACTAATCGAGGTGCTAACGGCTCTAATCGATGCGCGAACCGCGAATCGTCGACGTCGAAAATACATAATTCGAGCGAGCGTGTGCGAAGCTGCGGCAGGTACTCACCTAAGGAGATCGGCGACTGATGTGCGTGGGACGTCGTCCTGACGTAGTTCGTAGCGCCCGCAATTGTACACGTAGCACGTTGCCACCTGCTCGATCGAACCGAGTCTTGTCCTTAGTGCCAGCGAGTCCGTCGATCCCGTTCTCGATCTTATCACAGAACCAACGATCGACCCGCGATCTTGCTCTCGCCGACCGCCTTCGATCGGGTTCCCAGTCTTTTTCACTTGTCACCGATAACAGCGTACCAACGGCAGCGGACGACAACAGCGAGCAGTCCCGATGGCGGGCCGACGTCGACGGACAAACGATTCACAAATACATCGACCGCCGGTGACATCAGCCTACTTAATTACGCCGGTTAATTGCGAGTAATTAGGAGCGATTAACAAGCAAACAGTTGATTGCTCGGTGCCTGGCGAAAACGGCTCGATACCTCGATTACCCGGAAGGGACGCGAAGGAAACACGATCTCCGACGATTTCGAATCTATCGCCGATCGGGCGATGGAGTGAGAGAGAGAGAGAGAGAGAGACAGACAGAGAGAGGGGGAGAGAGAGAGAGAGACGGTGGCGGAGGCGAAGGCGGAGATCGAGATCGAGATCTCGCGGGCAACACAATGATGTCCGTGTGACGACCGCTCGTTCACCTTCCGAGCGAGACAAAGCGAGTCGGGTGCGAGAGAGAGACGGACGAAAACGAGGTTCCTTTAATGCGATTTTAATTATTCTATTTGTCCGCGGTGCGCGCACAGGCCGCTGGTTATCGTGTGCAATTCCGCGTCGGGGAACACACGGGAGTCACGCGCGTGTGGTAATTACCAGCGGCGATAATTAGGAGTTTATTAGAGTCCTTGTGTCATCACTCGCGCGAGTCGTCGTCGCTGGGACCGTTCGCCAGTTTCTTCGCCGCAACGGCTTCCCTCTATCCCCTGCTCTCTCTCACTTGATCAATCTCCCGCGGAACGTCTACGTTTATTGCGGCGTGCAATTAACTCCGCACCACCTGTCCCGCGCACCTGCCGCGTTTAACGCCTCCCGCACGTGGCCCTCGCGGCGATATATTTTCGACAGTCGCCGGGCGAGCACGTGAACCTCGTTGAACCCGCTCTCGGGCACGGCCTCGGAGACACCGTAGATCACGCACAAAAACGTCCAGGTAGACGGGCACAGAGTCACCGAGATATCAGAGTCACCGGGCACACAACGGCAGTCAATGGACGCGATGAATTTCCACTCCGCGCCGGCGACCCGGTCCACCGGATCGCCTGGTCCGCACGAGAGCAACGACGTCGGCGTCGAAGACGAAGACAGTTCGCAGGGATGGGTCCCCCGAAGTGTGACGCGTGGAGTCTGCTCTGTGGTCCACGTGCCGAGTGAACCGGCGCGGCGCACGCACCTCTACGCTCTGATTCCCTGATCACTCTCGAATCACACACTCGCCGATCACTCGGCCTATTCACAAACTCCTTCGGTTACTTCCAGGCGTCTTCTGCTCCCTGAGTCCGGCGATCTCTCCCCCGAAGACGACCACTTCCGCCGGGTGAAACGGGCGTAAACCCGCCGCGGGCTGCTCACCAGATGTACAGGAGCGGACACAGCCCCCGATCAGCTACCCGACGACGACGACGACGACGATCGATCGATCGATACTCCACTGGCCTTTCACCGATCGACTGGGGTATCCCGTGGCCTCGTGTCGCTGGCAGCGTGGTGTGCACGTTGCGCGGTCTCGACTCGGCGCGAAAACTTGGACCTGAATCCTGACGGTCCGCAGTCTGGCTGCGTAGTGGCTCCGCTGTACAGCCAAGGGAAGGCAACCCGCCGTGGCTTCTCTCCCGCCTAGCCGCCAGCCAATGCTCGTCCCGAGCGGTGGGGGTAAAATGGGCGGGCCGGTGGGCGGCACCCATGCGCGGAGGTGGTCCGCGAGTTACTCGCGAGATCCCGTTGTTATGATTGTTATGAGTGTCCGAGCTGCCTCCTGCGAGCTGCTTTGGGGGTGGAACGCGCGCGAGAGGCACCCGCGCGCCTCCGTCCCCCTTTTTCCATCCTGGACACCTCTCCCTCTCCCTCTCTCTCACTCACTCTCTCTCTCTTTCTCTCTCTCTCTCTCTCGTTCTCTCTCGTTCTCTCTCGCTCTCTCTCCCTCGCTCCCTGTAATATAACCACCACGAGCTCGAACGAGCTCGTAACCGTGATGCAAATCAGCCCGACGGGGCTGAAGAGTACTTCGCCGGGGATGCCCGGGAGGAGCGATTGGCGCGAAGGACCGATTTCGCGGCTTCCGTTCTGGTCTTCCGAAGGAAGGACACGCCGGACCCGCTCTCGCCCTCGGCCGGCCTCGGCCACCCTACCCCCCGATGTGATTTTAAGGGCTGATCGCGACCAAGATCCGTCCAGGCCTCCGTTCCCTTGCCCACGAATCGGTAAGTAGGGGGGACACGCGAAACTCTCCGGAAACAGCAGCCGCCACCTTTCCTCCGATTTTTCTTCGGCTCCCCTCGAATGAGTAATTGCCTATCGGCTGATTTAATTAGTGGTTCTTCGGCGGAGATGAAGTGCGAGCCAACGACCACCGTAAATGGAATATTTCGGGGCTATTTGGATTCCGAGTGGAGCCAGCATCATTCTTATGCTGTTAGGGGACACTAGTGACCACTCGACGACTCCCTGACGAACGCTGTGTTACCCGGACAATGAATAATCTGGTTTTAACGGACGGGACAGCTAGTTTCCGCGACACCGTGCCCTTTTTCATATTCGATGCATCCATCTGGTCTCCGATGGATCGTATTCGAGTTTGGTACTTGGTTCGTCGAGGGTTAAACACTTTCGCGGATATCTACGTTTCTGCAACATTTTCTGTCGGTGTGACGTGTGGATTTGGAATGCATTTGGTGTCGTTTTCGCGATAATTGAGACCGTGTCTTCACGGAACTAGGGCTGTTTCCTTCGATGCTTGACATCTTGGTTATGTAGCTTGTTGTTTGTTACGTACCCATTAACCCTGACAAGGCGGTGGCTTGGTCCATTTTGACCCAGAGCATTTAAATCCTTAACTTCATTACCAAATTTTCGAAAATAAAATTAAATGAATTGCTGTTACATTAGGAACAGCAGAAAGGCTGATAAGTCTGCAAGATGTTTCTTCAAAAATAATTTTTGAAAAAATGCTGAATGAAGCTCAGAATTGTTATAAATATCGTTAATAGCACACTTGTGAAAATTGTTCGCCGTTCGAAAGTTAAAATAATTCAAGTCTTGCGGAAAAATCGTCTCGAGGAACTTTGATTTCGGCATTTCTTTACTTCGAGAAAATGATCGTGGCTTTTCGCGGAAACGTTCTTCATCGTCGTTCTAGTTAGGTCAATGTCGACATGTTCCGTGGAAAAACAAGATATTTATAATGGTATTTATTACAAAGTTAGCTTATTATTCTGTAACATTTGGCGTTTGCTCAAGTTTGTTTCGCGGGGAGACCTGCAAACCTACGCTCATAATCCTTGCCAAACGCGTAATTTCGTCTCGAATTCTTCACTCGTTCCTAAATAAACGAGAAACAACGAAAAATAATTCATTGCAAGTTGAACACGAATGATCCTTTATATTTCGCTGGTAACTCAAATTTGCTTAAAATCGTAGAAACCACCACGAAACTTCTAAATTAAGTTAATTACCTCGCGGAGTAAACGAAACGAATACAACGTACCAAAAATCTGGCGTCAAATTTCCTGTCGGTACGCGAAGGATAATGCAGCAACTTCGAACCGAAGAATCGAACGAGAGGTTTACCTTTATGGAAATCCTGGAGGCACGAGTTCGCCGATACGCGTCGTCAAAAACGAACAACAACTGCGTACAAGGGGAAGATTAATTATCTGCGGTGTGCGTACCATAAATGAGCATCGATATCCCATCGGACTGGAACATCTTCCTCGCAATCAACGGCGTCTCGAACACGCGGCCATCGATCCCAAATTATGGCGTTAATTCGCGTTCCTTAAGTATGTATATACGTATAATATATCCTATCAATTGCAAGTCACAGATGCACTCCAATTACCTGCGCGGCCGGTCAGCCCGGTAGGGCCTACGGTCATTAATTTTGATAAATCGTTCGTACACAGAAGTCGGAGTTCGTCGACGTTGATCCACTGTCTCATTTATCTTCGGGAGAGGGGGACGCGATGAACCCCCGGCTGGTAATTGCGACGCTGCGTGCCGATAGCGCGCCATTTTCGTTTCGTTCTGACACGGGGCTCGGATCGGGACGCGACGACGATCTTTCGTTACCTTCCAGCGACGTTCAGCCGGAGCTTCGACCTAATCAGACATCGCGAAACCGTTCTTGTCAATTCGATGCGAGTGTCGCTAAACGGTCAAATTCGCGCGTTGTTACTTCTGCGAGAGAAAACGGTCTTTCGTATCTCTGAAATAGAGGTTTGTAGGCTCGATCAGTCGACGATGCGACAGTGTCCGCGTCCGATCTTCGTGCCGACTGTTCATCGCCATTTGAGTGCGTTAGAATCATAGTGGCGTATGTGAGATTTTCGAAATTTTTCACTTACCTTTCCAAATGTGATCTATACATGTCAAAACGTTAGGAAGACAAGTGAAATAAATTCTAAAGTTACTATAAAGCAGGGGTGTCGATCTCGCGGCCCGAGATGAACATTTTTGCGGCCCAGTCAATATATCCGACGCAAAGTAAATATAAAATAGAAATGTGAATTAGAAATTTTGAAAAAGTAGTCTCGGCCAATAAAATTTCTCCCGAAATAGGAAAGATAGTATCGGAGAAGAGATGTCGAGTATCAGGACGTAAACAATAATTTAACTTTATATACGTTTATTACAATGTACTAGTCAGAATAAAAATATTTGTTTCTATGAACATTGACTTTTTTTTGCGGCCCACCTAGAGTTAAGCATTGTTTATTTGGCCCAAGTTAGCTTTTGAGTTTGACACCCCTGCTATAAAGTAACTTAGCTCTACATTATCTTAATAATAAATTTGATTCGTAAAAAAACAATGCACATGTTGGTAACAATAACACTCCTTGTTTCTCCCAATGGGGAAAATGTGACTTACGCCGCTATGATTCTAACCCACTCGTTTGCTGCTGAGTCGAGGGTAGTTTTCGAGATGGATTATTTTAAAGTCGGAGTTGCTTCTCCGTAGCGAAAACAATCATGTAAGNTCGAGAAAATGATCGTGGCTTTTCGCGGAAACGTTCTTCATCGTCGTTCTAGTTAGGTCAATGTCGACATGTTCCGTGGAAAAACAAGATATTTATAATGGTATTTATTACAAAGTTAGCTTATTATTCTGTAACATTTGGCGTTTGCTCAAGTTTGTTTCGCGGGGAGACCTGCAAACCTACGCTCATAATCCTTGCCAAACGCGTAATTTCGTCTCGAATTCTTCACTCGTTCCTAAATAAACGAGAAACAACGAAAAATAATTCATTGCAAGTTGAACACGAATGATCCTTTATATTTCGCTGGTAACTCAAATTTGCTTAAAATCGTAGAAACCACCACGAAACTTCTAAATTAAGTTAATTACCTCGCGGAGTAAACGAAACGAATACAACGTACCAAAAATCTGGCGTCAAATTTCCTGTCGGTACGCGAAGGATAATGCAGCAACTTCGAACCGAAGAATCGAACGAGAGGTTTACCTTTATGGAAATCCTGGAGGCACGAGTTCGCCGATACGCGTCGTCAAAAACGAACAACAACTGCGTACAAGGGGAAGATTAATTATCTGCGGTGTGCGTACCATAAATGAGCATCGATATCCCATCGGACTGGAACATCTTCCTCGCAATCAACGGCGTCTCGAACACGCGGCCATCGATCCCAAATTATGGCGTTAATTCGCGTTCCTTAAGTATGTATATACGTATAATATATCCTATCAATTGCAAGTCACAGATGCACTCCAATTACCTGCGCGGCCGGTCAGCCCGGTAGGGCCTACGGTCATTAATTTTGATAAATCGTTCGTACACAGAAGTCGGAGTTCGTCGACGTTGATCCACTGTCTCATTTATCTTCGGGAGAGGGGGACGCGATGAACCCCCGGCTGGTAATTGCGACGCTGCGTGCCGATAGCGCGCCATTTTCGTTTCGTTCTGACACGGGGCTCGGATCGGGACGCGACGACGATCTTTCGTTACCTTCCAGCGACGTTCAGCCGGAGCTTCGACCTAATCAGACATCGCGAAACCGTTCTTGTCAATTCGATGCGAGTGTCGCTAAACGGTCAAATTCGCGCGTTGTTACTTCTGCGAGAGAAAACGGTCTTTCGTATCTCTGAAATAGAGGTTTGTAGGCTCGATCAGTCGACGATGCGACAGTGTCCGCGTCCGATCTTCGTGCCGACTGTTCATCGCCATTTGAGTGCGTTAGAATCATAGTGGCGTATGTGAGATTTTCGAAATTTTTCACTTACCTTTCCAAATGTGATCTATACATGTCAAAACGTTAGGAAGACAAGTGAAATAAATTCTAAAGTTACTATAAAGCAGGGGTGTCGATCTCGCGGCCCGAGATGAACATTTTTGCGGCCCAGTCAATATATCCGACGCAAAGTAAATATAAAATAGAAATGTGAATTAGAAATTTTGAAAAAGTAGTCTCGGCCAATAAAATTTCTCCCGAAATAGGAAAGATAGTATCGGAGAAGAGATGTCGAGTATCAGGACGTAAACAATAATTTAACTTTATATACGTTTATTACAATGTACTAGTCAGAATAAAAATATTTGTTTCTATGAACATTGACT